CCCCAAAACCCCAAAACCCCAAAACCCCTAATGCGCAGACTGAAATTGAATGTTACTTTTTAGTAAAAAAATTTAGTTATCTTCCATTTTCTATAGTTTTAGCAGACTTTCTTACCTTGTTTAAGAGTTGTCTGATCTTTGCTATAAGGATGTGAGAAGAAGTCTGAAGAGATTGTATACTTTTAGGAGAAATAAAATACATATTTAGAAAATTTATAGCTTTGAGTCAATATTTTTGTACACTTAAAGAATACTTACCTCCAGTCTTTGGATGAGGGAAAATTTCTTCAAGAGTATCATTTTTTGTGCTTTCTTTGAGATAAAGATTCTGCAAAACTTTTATAAATGCTTCTAGACCTAAACAAAAATTTAAGCAAGGTTTAAATGTGAATAATTTCAGATGTTCGTACTGTTTCTCTCAATTTTATTTATAAGCATTTTTTCGATATACTTGATCTTATTTTGCATATACTTGAATCCTCTGCTAGCACCCACCACTATCGTTCTCAAGAGTTGTTTTTCCTATTTTTTAGTCTAAAACTTACTGTCTCATATTGTTCATCATCTGACTCGATCTCAGGTACATCTCTTGATTCAGATTCAGATTTAGACTTGGAATTGGAACTGTCTTGCATTCTTTTGGCTTTCTTTTGCCTTTTCTTGGCCTTATCCTTTTTAGATTTTGAGTGTCTTTTACTCTTCTGCTTCACTGACTTTTGCTTGGATTTATGATTATTTTTAGGAGAACCTAGAACAGAAGATTATAAGGTATTTAACAAATAAATTTACTTTTTTCAGGCTTTTCTTCTTCAGTGTTTTCTTTCCTGTTCTCTTTAATAGCATTCATAGCTCCAAAATTTTGATCTTTTTCAGTAACTTTCTGGAGCTTCCTTGACTTCTCTTTATTTGATGTTTTTCTCTTTTTATGCTTCCCCTGTATCTGTTTATCTTTACCCAGATCATAATCTCCCTTACAATCTTTCTTTAATTTTTGCTTTTGCATGTTCTTCTCTTTTAGCTTTGGTTGCTGTTCTTTCTTCTTTTGCTCTTCTTTCTCATCTTCTTGTTCATCTTCTTGTTCATCTTCACTCACATCTTCTTTCTTCTCTTCTTGATCTTCATTCTCTTTATCTTCCTGTTCTTCTTGCTTCTCTTCTTCAAGCTCTTCTTCATGTACCTCTTTCTTGTTTTCTTCTTGCTGATTTTGTCGTTCTAATTCTTCTTGCAATTCTTTCTCCTCTTGTTTCTTCTGATTGCTTTTCTTCTCTTCCTCTTTCCCAAGAGCCTGTTTTGACTCCTGCTCTTGTTGCTTAGGCGGTTCTCTCTCTTGGACTTCTTCTTTTTTTTCTTGTAGGGCATACTTGTATTCTTCTTCTGAAGAGGGGTTTTCTGGGGTTTGCGCAAGCTCTGGTGGTGTTTCTTTTTGGATTTCAGGGCTTGAGGTTTTGTCATTCTTCATCCTTTGCTTACTAGCATCCTTAAGACTCTTCGGATTTTTAGGAGGTGAAGATGGCTTACATTCTTTCTCCTTAGGATTTTCCACTATGGCTCTAATTGGTCTAGGATTAATGATTTGTGTATTGACTCTACTACAAGCTTTGCTTTTGGATCTATTGTATATGGTGCTATTAATTTCAGATCCAGATGAGCTATTCTCTTCATAAGAGTCTTTGTCATTAACTTGAGGGTGAGAAGAGTTTTCTTTGGGTTTCTTCGAGTGAAAAGAAATGTCTTTGTCCTTTTGGGTTTCAAGAGGTTTGTTAAATTTTGAGGCTTTTAAAACATCTTTCGAGTCTGAATTACTTATAATAGTATCCTCATCTTTTTGAAAATTTTGATTATCTTTTTCATAAATTACTGAAGTGATGCTGGTGATGGGTTTCTTAACTTCTTGCATTTTAGCATCTCTTTTTATTAGAGAGTGAGGTTTGCCTCAATCTTTTCTAAGAGTATTATCAATGGATGAGCTTAATCCCTTATCAACAGATCTCTTCTTCCTTTCATCAAATAATCACCTCTCTCTTTTAAGTTCGATCTCCTTCTCAACCCCTTCCCCCCCTCTCCAACTCCCTTTCCCCCTTAAAATCCTTCTTTCTCCCCTTCTCCCCTCTCTTCTTTCCCTCATCACCCCAATACCCATCCCCCAAACAACCTCTTGAACTACCCTTGTTCCTCTTCTTGCCATCCCTATTTCTCCTCTGTGCATCCCCTCTTCTCTTCCCTTTACTATCTAAAAGATCTCTCTTGTAGTCTCTTACCTCTTTTAGTACGCATGCTCTTCCTTCTGTTGGCTTCTTTGTCTTTTGTTCCTAAAAATTGTGAGGATACATGGTCTGGGAAGGACTTACTGCTGTGCATGGGGCTGTGGTTGGGTTTCTTGGGGGAGTAAGATGGGGGATGGAGGGTTGGATTCGTGTGATTGGAGTTTTGGAGGTTACTCATTTTTGTAATTTTTGTAGAGAGTTGGGGTTTTGGGGTTTTGGGGTTTTGGGG